ATATTTTACCTTTAAATACATTTTCAAAATTTTCATGAAAATTAGGATGAATCTGGAGGTGTGCTGCTTTAAGCTTAAGTTTTAAACTGATTACCTATATCGGTTTCATGTGAATCTAAAATATCGTTTACCTGTTAAGAAGGAGATATACATATATGTATTTAGATAAAACCTGTTCATATAACCTTTGTTTATTGATAAAAAAGAAACACAGACAATATTTCCATAGTATATAATGTAAAATATCATAAATACACACAGTAAACAATAAATTATCTGTTAACAATACATTTGTATAATATAACAGGGTATTATCTGAAGATGGAATAATTTTTAAACCTGGAATGCACTTAAATAACTGCTGCAGGAGTTTAGTTCATCTAAGGGGTTTAGTTGATGCCAATCATAAGAAAATGAGGGTTAGTTGAACTAAGGGGGCGCATCAACTAACCCTGAATCTGATCTAAGGGTTAGATGATGCGGTGCATCAACTAACCCCCCTTAGTTCAACTAACCCTCATTTTCTTATGTTTGGCATCAACTAACCCCCTTAGATCAACTAAACCCCTGCAGCAGTTATTTAAGTGCATTCCAGGTTTAAAAATTATTCCATCTTCAGATAATACCCTGTTATATGAAAATATGGATTAAATAAAATGAAAAAAAAATAAGGATTAATGATCAATAGATCATCCAATGACCTGAATAGAAAAGTAGGATTTCTGAATATAACAAAGCTGCGACCAAAAATATTTTTCGTCCCAGAACCAAGCAAATTTTTTCACTATATCCTTTGCCTGTGTATGATACAAATCGTTGAGAACTCTTAGTATTATGCACTTCAGAATTACGAGTGAAAAAAAGAAAATTTGGTATATTCAGTAATGATGATACAAGCCCAAAAAATCGAGCAGTAAATGATTTTTGTGATATACTAGAATTATAATGATATTCAACAATTATTATGACAATCTGTAGTCTAACATTCTGTATTGTTATTTATTTAAAGCATGTTACCAAGAATCACAATTTTAACATTAAAGTGTAGTGTAGCAAAATTGCCTATATATCTATATAAAACAAGAGCCACCATGTATGTTTTTGCACTTGCTTTTGCACTTTAACTTTAGACAAAACTTAGGAGTGCTTGGAGGCACCCACAGCAATAGTCTTTCAAGTTTAGTATTCACATTGCACTAAGGTCTTTTCTTGAAACACTGTTTTATCACATTTTTGCACATACCATTATAACTGGTCCTTTTTTATGAATATTAAATTGGAAATCATTTAAATATTGGTAATTCTAAATGTAAGATGTACACGTGTATAAATTGTTTATCTTATATAAACAAGATATGTTTGTAAAACATGTATGCCCCCTATCAGCAGCCAATTAGTCATGTGATAAGGTTATTATGCATGACTTCTGACCCAGTGATCAAACAATTAATAAGGGTTATCACCTTAACCTTTGACCCCTTGACCCAAAACTCAATAGGGGTCATCTGCTGGTCACGACCAATCATCATACAAAGTTTGAAGTTCCTTGGCCTAAGCCTTTTTAGTTAATTGATCGGAAACCGTTTTTACCCACAAGGTCAATGTGACCTTGACCTTTGACCCCTTGACCCCAAAATCAATAGGTCATCTGCTGGTCATGACCAATCACCATACAAAGTTTGAAGTTCCTAGGCCTAAGGGTTCTTTAGTTATTGATTGGAAAGCATTTTTACCTACAAGGTCAATGTGACCTTGCCCTTTGACCCCTTAACCCCAATATCAATAGGGGTCATCTGCTGGTCATGACCAATCACCATACTAAGTTTGAAGTTCCTAGGCCTAAGGGTTCTTTAGTTATTGATCGGAAACCGTTTTTACCTAAGAGGTCAATGTGACCTTGACCTTTGACCCCTTGACCCCAAAATCAATAGGGGTCATCTACTGATCATGACCAATCACCATATCAAGTTTGAAGTCCCTAGGCCTAAGGGTTCTTTTGTTATTGATCAGAAACCGTTTTTACCTACAAGGTCAATTTGACCTTGACCTTTGACCCCTTGATCTCAAAATCAATAGGGGTCATCTGCTGGTCATAACCAATCACCATACCAAGTTTGAAGTTCCTAGGCCAAAGGGTTCTTTTGTTATTGATCAGAAACCGTTTTTACCCAAGAGGTCAATGTGACCTTTACCTTTGACCCCTTGACCCCAAAATCAATAGGGGTCATCTACTGAGCATGACCAATCACCATACCAAGTTTGAAGTTCCTAGGCCTTAAAGTTCTTTAGTTATTGATCAGAAACCGTTTTTACCTACAAGGTCAATGTGACCTTGACCTTTGACCCCTTAACCCCAAAATCAATAGGGGTCATCTGCTAATCATAACATATCACCATTCCAAGTTTGAAGTTCCTAGGCCTAAGGGTTCTTTTGTTATTGATCAGAAACCGTTTTTACCCAAGAGGTCAATGTGACCTTGACCTTTGACCCCTTGACCCCAAAATCAATAGGGGTCATCTACTGATCATGACCAATCACCATACCAAGTTTGAAGTTCCTAGGCCTTTAAGTTCTTTAGTTATTGATCGGAAACCGTTTTTGCTTACAAGGTCAATGTGACCTTGACCCCTTGACCCCAAAATCAATAGGGGTCATCTACTGATCATGACCAATCATCATACCAAGTTTGAAGTTCCTAGGCCTTAAGGTTCTTTAGTTATTGATCGGAAACCGTTTTTGCTTACAAGGTCAATGTGACCTTGACCTTTGACCCCTTGACCCCAAAATCAATAGGGGTCATCTACTGGTCATGACCAATCACCATACCAAGTTTGAAGTTCCTAGGCGTAAGGGTTCTTTAGTTATCACTCGGAAACCATTTGGTCTACAGACCGACGGACCGACAAGTGCAAAGCAATATACCCCCTTTTCTTCGAAATGGGGGCATAAAAAGATGGTATAGAGATCATTGCATACATATATTTCTGACATGCAAATTATAAAAGGGAGGTAAAGACTTGTCTGTATTCTACAATAAAATGTGGCTCTTGACAAAAATGAAATGATATGCGCTCTTCTATAAGTGACCACTCTAAAAGTAAAATTACAACTTTACAAAAAACTGTTACTGAACAATACACTTGCTGATAAAGATAGCATTAAAAATTTACCATGCCCTCATCTTTATTAAAAAATAACAAAGAAAATTACGATCCATATAAGGCCCTGTATAGACTACATGTACTTCTTCAAAAAAAGACTTTTTCTGGAAAATAAACTTGATAATACACAAAGCAGTCCAGGATAAAATATAAAAAAAAGTTTTTCCAAATAACTCTATCATACACTTAAAATGTAAAAACCTGAAAATATATTTAAATTGATAAATATGTTAAATTTACAAAGACTATTTGAATTAAACAATGAATATCAAATACCTTAAATTATCAACAGCACATATAAGTGTTGAAAATCATCAACAGTACATATATAAATTACTATTGTTTAAAAACATAAAAACTGTTCTAAAAAAGAAAATTTGTCAAGTTTACAAATAAAGTGATTTGTTACTCTCTACCCACATAAATCACATATAGCTGCCAAAATATCAAAACAACTTCTTTTACTCAGTAAGTCATGGGATAAAATTTTGGTAAAAAAAAAATCTGTAACTTTTTTACACTTCATTCAAAGTTTCAAATGTTGCTTTTTATAATCATAAAAATTCAAAATTTCACTAGGATAAAATTCTTTTTTATACACTTCTTAAACTATGTGTACATTTTCTTAAATTTGATTTTCAAATTCATTCCACTTATATGATGGTGTGCCACTTTGAAAATAAAACAACAACATCTTTTACACAAGTTTCAATTCTAATGTCTTGATCTTGAAAGGTTTCACAGTTGCACTCAAAGCAAGTTATAGCTAATACTTATTACAACTTTAAAGGGACTGCACTGAGGTCTTTTTACATGTTGAAACTGTAAATAATTTTTAGAGATTAAAATATACATTTAATGAAGGTGCCATTTATTCTTATGGAAAAATACAAACGTTTTTTAAATTGTACAATTTAAAATTCTAGACTTTTAACTTAATTAAGTAAAAGATATTTATATTTGTATCTAGCACAAACATAATATATATACATATATCATATATAAATAATTAAGAAAAACTATAGCAAAACAACAGAAATAACTTTATAGTATAACCTTAATAAATAATTGCTAACAATTAAACTATAACAGCAAAACAATAGCAAGAATTATAATAGTCTAACATTTACAATGAATATAGAAAAAACAATAGCAAAACAAAAGCAAGAACAATAAGAGTTAAAGCAGCATTCAGCTTTTATTTTCTGTTGGAAAAATATTTCAGTAATTTTGTCTCGGAAAAGTGCATTATATAACTGTTAAGCCTTCTTCAAAACAGTGTCCAGAGAGCTAATTATTATTATTATTTCTAAAAATAGAAGACCAGGAAATGAATCATCTGCTTTACTAATTTTAATACATGTAAAGAGAGTGGACCAGTAGATTAGAGGAAGGGACTAAGTGAGATGTTTCCTTATTGTTTATGAATTTTATTGCAGTCATATTTCATTTTCCACCTTAATTCTTTTGATTTGACAATTAGACTATATGAAAAGATTTATCTAAAAATCACATATTTAACTTTTAGAACAGCTGAAGGCCACTTTAACATTTAGTAAGTATAGTTTTATTATATATATTTTTTGTCTTCTAAAACCCTTGCATTGAAAATGACTGATAATCATCCCAATTTATTGATAATCATCCTAATTTATTAAGTTTTTTTGGAAGCATTACATTTTAATGAGGATAACTTTGGTAAAATAAAATAATAACCATATATCAACAATTATAAATGCCACAACATGAAAAGTATGTAAAGAAAGAATTTATTTTAAAAATATCAAAATTGGACTGTTGCCAAATAAATATGGGACTATCATGTTAATAAAAAAATATATCAACTGTTTGGAAGATAGAGGTGACAAAGACTTGTCTATTCCACCAGAATAGATTCTAGTATGCACATCAATGCAATCGGACTAGACTCTACACGATTGTTTGTTTAATTGCCATAAATTCCATAATTTCATAACCGGGACATTCACTCCAGTAAAAGTTAAGTGATGTGTTTAAATCTATCATTTTTATCTGTTTCTATGTTTAAAATAGTTGAATAGTTTATGTCTTTTCCAAATGAAACATGTGACAAAATTTTAAGACATAATCTTGACAAAGTTTTAGAATTTTCGTAAGAATTCTTTTGTAATGAAACTTAACAATAAATTTTTGGATTTCTTTTGTTTTGCAGGAGATCTTGTGCATTGACTCTGATTACAGACTGGTACCATGTTCTCATGATAGACTGGTATCCTGCTTCTTTTGATAGACTGGTATCCTGCTTCTTTTGATAGACTGGTATCCTGCTTCTTTTGATAGACTGGTTCCCTGCTTCTTTTGATAGGCTGGTATCCTGTTTCTCATGAACATCTGGTAATCTGTTTCTTATGAAAGCATGGTGCCCTATTGTTTACATGTGTAGACTGGACCTCAACATTAAAATCATTCTGCCACTAAATTCACTAAACTTTGTTTAATCACACCACATTGTCTTGATATGGCACTTGACAGATTATTTACTCTGTAAGAACACTTTAATCTTTAAATCACATGATATTCTTGTAGTCATTCCAAAGGCTGAAAAAGAACAACACAGAAATTAGCTGATATATATTAATTACAAATACTAACAGGTCAAACCATTTTAGAACAAAGATCAACACTCTAGATGGAAAGAAGTAAAATATTGGCTACTACCAGTATACAATTATCCCAAACCTTCTGTGGACTCAGTCTTTGCTACATCAGTATCTGACGGGACCGGTTACTATCGGAAAATTGTTAATAACTTTTCTGCATTAATATACAAGCATAATTTTCCGTAACATGTTCATCCAAGAACAGTTATTAATACTCTTGTTTTCTGAGAATAATTTTTTTTGGATTCACAAAGTTCTCCCCAAAGTTAAAAGTCACACTGCTAATTTCCCAAAATGAATACCTCTAGGTTACTAAATATAAGGTAACCCTTACCCTTCTAGTGTTATTTCTAGCCAAGAAAAGGGGCAGGGTGCACTCACTAAAAAGGGCACTTCTTGTACGTGAAAATGGAATATAAGGGCAAATATTTAATGCTTCAAAGTTATGAAAAAAATTTTACACCTTATTAGCACTCATTTGCTGCTACAATTGATTATTCTAACGAAATTATGTGAAAACTTAATTGTTGTTTAAAAAATTCAGATTATTCCAATACAAAGCACCTTTCTTTCACTTTATGAGTGTTAGGTGGCAGGGCAGCAGGGTATGCTGGAAGGGCAGCAGGGTGCAGGCAAAAAGGGGCAGGGTGCAGCACCCTGCCAAAATGTGCTAGATATAACACTACGGCTTCTATGCAGTCTGACCAAACTCTTTACTGCTGGCTGACTAACTTTGAATTTTTTGTCTTGATATTTTTTTTTTCTAAAGAGTCGAGGTAAAGAGTGCTAATGAAATGTACATGCAACAAATATCTTTAAGATACCAAGAATGAGGTAACCCTTACTCTTCAGGAACCAAAAGTGATTGGCCTATGCTACCAGTTTTATTATTAAGCCAGACAAGCCCACACATCTGTGACCAGGCTCTCCTGGCTGACGTACTTAGAATTTTCACATCTTGATATACCAACAATTAAATTAATAATGGATCATTCCAAATATGGAATCTGGTCAAGTACATTAATACAAACTAAGGGTTATAAACAAAATCCGGACTGTACCATTGAGTATATCTCTCATCTCCTTCATGTGCTAGTACCAACTGCTTCACTTCAGGTGACGGGTTTAAACCATGCTTTTCTGCTCTGTTCCAACGCTCAAGTCTTGAAATTCCTATTTGGAGAAGAAACATATTGTAAGCCAAACTATGTGTGACCTTCTTCTAAAAATATATCTGACAGCCAGTATTACATCAATTACTTGTAAGGTGAATAATTGACTTTCAAGGAAGACCCTTGTTACGGTGTACATTTTAGCCAAGTTTTAAGAAAATTCTTCATGGGGTGAGTCATTATTATAATATTGCACATCTGTAATATTGCTTTTCATTGAATAATTGTGACATTTATATTTACTATATTCACAGCTGCTGAAGAAATTTCTCTGCTTTTCTCAAATATAGCAAGTTTGCTGTATCATTAACCTAGCAGCGCAGGTTATATATAAAAACAATCCTTATATAGGCCCATATAACCTATCAAAAATCTTTATAACTAATATTATAAGAGCAGACACAATGGAGACAGAGCTACCAACATGATAAAGTGTTTCCATTATATATCATAAGGGCCCCCTTACATTATTATCAATTGTAAATACTGAATATCTGAATATGACCCAATATCTGATATTTTTTTTC